GTACGTACAGCGCATGCGCAACATCACCCCACAATGTCACTGGGCAATCTTTTCCATGCAATTCGCGACCCGTGTAGTCCCGATTCCTCTATCAAGGAATGATGCAGCAAGACAACTTTACCTGCTGGCTCGAGATCTCACACGCACGTTCTGGTCGTCTACCAGCTTCCAAAGGTGTCAATTTTATGAACTGGATCCTTCGCTCAAGCTAAAGCTACCATCACACCTTTCCCGCTCCGATGCGACACTGTTATGCCGCCTTTGGTTGGGTGTTGCATTCACAAAGGCGTACTCCTTTCGCATTGGTATGGCAGACACTCCTACATGCGACTACTGCGGAGCCGAAGAGACCATCGAACACGTCCTGTGCAGCTGCGCTTGCTACGACACACAGCGATGCCAGCTACGGATGGTTTTGAATCGACTTGACCCCGGACCATTTTGTGTGCAGAAGATACTAGGACCTTGGGCATCTGCCTCAGTTGCACAGAAAGCAACTAAAGCACTGCTACTTTACCTTAAGTCAACAAACCTGAGCGACCGCCTGTAAACTGTGTGTGCTCCCCGAGTGTGCTCGTGATTGTGTGTACCTTCTCATCTTTCTGCAACCTCTTTTCTCCCCTTTATCCCCTCCCCAGTGCAGGGTAGCAAACCGGATGTGCGTCTGGTTAACCTCCCTGCTTTTCCTTGCATCTTTATCTCTCTCTCGCGAATGTTCAAGAGAATAATTACCCCGTATTCTAGAACGTCCCTTCCCTCAAGCTTCACCTTCACCGAAGAAAACCGATTTGTAGCGCCATCTCTAGGCACGGCAAGTCACTGCATATCAGCGATAATCTGCTCCGACTCTTGAGTAGCGCAACTTTATTTATAGCTGAGTGGTGGCACAGCACTCAACTCTGTCAAGTGAAGGGTCAAAGTCGAGTCGAGGAGTGTTTGTGAATACGGGGGTCAAACTCGTTCCCGCTCAAAAATACTGAAGGTGCGCTTCATTCTTCCTGACCAAGTTCCCAAGTAAGGTACGCCTCAGCCAATTCTTTTTCAGGCTGAGCCTTACCTCAAAGGGATACGTTTCCAAACATGGGTGTACAACCATACAGCTTACAATGTAGTGTAAGGTTAGCACCACAGCCAGAAGGTAGAAGATGGTGACGTTAATACATCGGCCCGACTGTCTATTGTATTGCTTACCTCAACTAAGGGGGGGGGGGGATGACATATACCGCAGTACTTCTTGACATGTTTGATATCGCATGCTTTGCTTAGCTGCGAAGCCCTCTCATGCATACCTGCGAGTCAGCTTAGCGCAGAACACGCCAATCTGGTATCACCCTCTGGCAGCAGCCTCTTTCAACCTGTGTTAAACACCATGCACGTTCAGCATTTCCGGTACGGCATGCAGGTATATATTATGCGAGAGTTTAATGGTCAGTTGTCCGCTCAAAAGAGGTTCACGTGCTATACGTGACACCATGTGGCGAAAAAAATAAAGAGTGTTCCACACTCGCCATCATGTCAGAACGGTGCGAGCATACCCGGAGTTTGAATGCACGTCAACACCCGATTGAGTGGACGGGGTGACAACCGACGCTGTAGCTGAGTTGGTATGAGCATCGAGCCCGTAATCTGAAGGTCGCAAGGTTCGATCCGGCGAGCCGCAAGTTGTCTTTTCGTCCAATATATGTTCTTCACGTCAGTATCCCAGTTACTAGAATACACTCGCGGTACAATTAACGTTTCCTGTGAATTTTTTTCTCCTCATTATCTACTGGTTCCTGCCAGTGGAAAGTTGTCTTTTCGTCTACATTATTTTCGTCACATCGGTATCTCAATTGCTACAATGCACTCAAACAGTGCAATTAACATTCCTCTCATTATCTATTGATTTTCATTAAGAGTCTGTCAAACAAAGAAGCAGTACCTCCGGAAATTTCCTTCCCCCCCCCCTAACTTGGTATACAACAACACACGAAAGCCACGACGAAGGACAGAACAGAAGGATAAAGAACTCACCCAAATCGCAGTTCAATTACTCGTTGGAAGAAGTTCCCGTTATTTCGCAGAAATATGAAGTAAGACATGAATAACCGAGAACGTCGCACTATGTTGACCATATAATATATCACACAGCTTAGGACGTCACACCTATCCGTTTCATTGCTTTCTTAGCTCGCACAAAAAGGCCCTTCGTAACACTGCCCGCAAGAGTTTTACAAAAGCCACAGAATTTCCGAGGGCACGCCTTCCTGTGTGCTCATTCGTTACTATACAGTGGCAGCGGTGCTTGATAAGCGTTTCGCAACAAAACACAACAGTGCTTTCATCATTATTATGATCCCGTTTATTATGGTTAACATGCCTATCCGACTCTTGAGAGAATATAAAAAGCAAAATATTCCTGCCAGCATATACTCATGCGAATCACTGCTTTTTTTTCTCCTCTCGAGGCTTCTGCTTGTTTTTGGAACGAACGGCTGCCCACCGTGTTGAATAAGATCTTTTCTTGGCGCCTTGGCGTAAACAAAAAGACCAGCACACCACTGCCCCTAGTGGCCCATTTACTCAGATTCTGTCTGGACCAGTAATTCTGTGCCACATGTGCCAAAATGCTTAAGAAATTGGCAATATCAATATATACGCGGTCTTACGCGCAATAATCAGAATATCAATATGGGACACACCGTAGTAGAGGGCTGCGGAATTTTGAACCACATAGTGCACATCGTCTTGTGTGCCTCTCCCTGTACAATGACGTGAGTGCTCTATAACCTGCACTGGTTTTGCACAGTGCACACATGGGCCTCTCGCATTTCGCCTCCCTCAAAATGTCCTTACCGAGACCGAACCCACGAGCATACGGTGCTGGTCAGCAGCCCAGCACCGTATAACCGCCAAAACACCCCGGCGAACTCTGACCATCACTACTGCCATCATTACGGTCACCATGAGAATCGCGGCCAGGTCGAATAGGCAAAACGTGGCCAAAAATCAGCAAAACTAGCCAAAACGTATAGCGAACCAGCGCAAATGCCAGATAAAAGTATCCACGCTCGCGTGGAAGCAATTGCGTTATTTTTTTTTATTTGCATAATTATGAGTACCAGCCACTGGGCGAAAATGTAATGATGTACAGTATGGCTCCTTCAAAATGAGAACTGCTGTGCGCCGCGGTGGTGTGGTGCGTAAGGTGCTCACCTGCTGACCCAACGGTTGAGGCGGTCGCACTGCTATGGAGACGAAATGTCAGAAGACTGTGCGATGTCATGACACTTTAGATAACACAAGACGGTCGAAATTTCCGAAGCCCTCCACTACGGCCTCTCTCATGATCATATCGCGGTTTTGGGATGTAAACCCCATAGTACTATTATTATCAGTTAATATCAATACCAAGATCCACCTTTGATAAAAAGAAAACCACATTTGTACTAATGGGAACGTTTGAAACTAGATTTACGCGTTCTCTGAGCCCTTTATTTCCATTTGCATCAGACGTGTTTGTCGTTGACCGAATGTGCTAAGTACAATATTAAAGCGAAAATAAAATTTCTAGTACTCTTGTGGCAATATTAAAAGGCTAACAATGTATCGGTTAATGTGCTCTCTATAGCTACCTTATCTAACAAGTGGGGCACATGTGTGTGTGTGTGTGTGTGTGTGTGTGTGTGTGTGTGTGTGTGTGTGTGTGTGTGTGTGTGTGTGTGTGTCTTCATTGATACGTGGGGTTTAACGTCCCAAAGCCACCATATGATTATGAGAGACGCCGTAGTGGAGGGCTCCGGAAATGTCGACCACCTGGGGTTCTTTAACGTGCACCCAAATTTGAGCACAGGGGCCTACAACATTTCCGCCTCCATCGAAGATGCAGCCGCCGCAGCCGGGATTTGATCCCGCGACCTGCGGGTCAGCAGCCGAGTACCTTAGCCACTAGACCACCGTGGCGGGGCATGTGTGTCTGTGTGTCTCTGTGTGTGTGTGTGTGTGTGTGTGTGTGTGTGTGTGTGTGTGTGTGTGTGTGTGTGTGTGTGTGTGTGTGTGTGTGTGTGTGTGTGTGTGTGTGTGTGTGTGTGTGTGTGTGTGTGTGTGTGTGTGTGTGTGTGTGTGTGTCTGTCAGTGTGTGTCTATGTGTGTGTGTCTCTCTCTCTCTATGTATGTGCGTCTCTCTCTCTGTGTGTGTGTGTGTGTGTGCGTGTGTGTGTGTGTGTGTGTGTGTGTGTGTGTGTCTGTCTGTCTGTCTGTCTGTCTGTCTGTCTGTCTGTCTGTCTGTCTGTCTGTCTGTCTGTCTGTGTCTCTCTGTGCGTGCGTGCGTGCGAAATCGCTTCATGGACGTGTAGGCATGTTATCAGGGATATGTTTTGCTTACTGTTTCATTCAACTCAATATTAAACATATTCAGTTTCCGATGCACTCGGTTTGCGCCAAGTCAGCGAATTCTTCGCTAGAGTGAGCTCACGAAGGAACACTTGACGGGCAGAGAAACCAAAATAAGCCCAGTATTCCAAGTCCCGTCGGCTCCACGTTCGGATACATCCATCGCGTCATCGAGCAGAACGAAGCGCACGGTCGGGGACCTCAGTTCTGAGGACCCGTAGGCGAAATGCGAGGGCAGTGCCTTTTCGTACACCTTGCAGGGCATTCCCACCGCACGTACGTGTTGAAATTTTTTTTTCACGAAAACTGGGCTGAGAAGTTGCTCGCACCAGCATCGGGGCCCTAGCTGCTGGCGTGCAAAGGACACGCGGCCAGGCAGTGGTGAGGAAGGTGGTTACACCTTAGGGGGGGAAGAGGGTGACTGCAACGGAGCACTACTATAGAACGGGCTGTGCCACGAAAACAAATAATCGTGCAAAAAACAAAAGCGGCAGGCAGCCGAGTGATGCACCCGCGGCCTCACAAAAACTAGAGGCAACAGTCAAGCGAGGAAAAGGAGAGGCGACGCTGCGCGGCTTCTCTTTTTACCGCCCGCGAGCGCGCAGCCGGCCGCCTCTATTTTCGGGTGGGACTCCCCGGGCCCAGTGGCGGTGGCTGGCGTTGGGCTTCCTCGGGGCAGACGTCACGTTCCCATTATATGAAGAAGTGAAGGGGGGCACCCGTCCTCTCTCCACACCCGGCCACTAGGGGCGATCTCGCAACTCCGATCCTTCTTGTGAGGCGCAGCACACCCTCCCGTGGGACGCTTGCGAACAGACACCTTGCCCGTAGGCATCGCGTCAACCACCGGCCAGCTACGAGCCTGCAAGGTGAGTTCACGTCCTTCGATAGAACCGCGACGCAGGTGCGTCTGCGTTTTCGACGTCCTGCTGGACTTTGTTGACCCGGCTGAAAGGTTGAAGCGGTTTGCAGCGGACGGTGAACAATTGCGCGAACGGCGCGCTCCGAGAGAACCGCGAGACAACTTGGATGCTTACCCGTCCGCTACTGGATATCGAGATGCACCTGGACTGCCGACCAAGCTACTAGACAACCAATGTGAGCGTGCTGGCAAAGCAGAACTGAAGACTAAACACTAATGCCGGAGAACACCAGTCCACATCCCGTTTCAGCGTCTACGGTGACCTAACCTTCAGGAGATCCGATGAAGAGGGATTAATTCGCTAATATTGCATACGAGAGAAAGTGTTCGCAAACGGCAAGTCTTATCACAACACTTTAGAACACTGTGTTGTCATTCTAAACATAATCTGATGTTGCCCACCACAGGTTGATGGCTGTTGGCGACTAGGTGGGTCGTCACTTATGCGCGATATCTCGACATTCGTACGATATTTTTCCGTGACTACTGGCGAAATTTATCAAATGGCCTAGTACTGAAAGCGATACTCTGCTTCGATTTGGTCGAAGCATGTCGTATGTACAAACAACTCCACCTTCATTGGAGGCAATGGACTTCCTGCGTCAGTCCCTTCACTGCAATCGACTGCCTTCACTGCCGAGGCTATATGCAGCGCAGTCATGACTGCACTTATGCCGACCTTACTCGTGAACTTGTTGTAGCTGAGATGTTCTGTGAACGTAATTACTTTAACGTTTCAGAGGTATACATACGGTCATAGCACGCTGTCAGAAGGTACAACGCACCTGAAGACAGGATCCGAAGCGAAGATTTCCTACGGCGTTCGCAACGCGAACGTCATCGTCTGTCAGTTTTATCCCGTTCCGGATAAGAAAAAGACACACGAACAAATAGATGAGATACACCAATTGTTGTAATTATACAATGATTCACTTTTTTTTTCTTCTTGTGTTATTGTCCGTTACGTGCAGTCTAATCTCAACATCAACAATTCGAAGTCGACCCTTTAGGTACGCTTCAACCTAAATCACGATAAAACAATGTGTTGACTACGTTGACGTACGGGAGCACACAGCTAAACTGCCGCAACAGACATTTATCGTGTCTAATAACGTGTACGCACTGCGATGCAGATTTATTACATCATACCATGATTTAGAGCGCCATCGGTGCAGTGATAACCAGCTACCACTGCGGCATGAAAAACACCTGGACTCCAAGCTCAGCGCCGCCTGCGCAACCTTAGCAGTAGAAAATCCGCCTTGTTTGTTTTCGCAGACATCAACGCCTGAAACTATGCGGGCTCACTGACTGGGGGGCTTCTGGAAGCCCGCTCGCGAATACGAGCAAGAAAACCTAAATGGGTCGAGGGGGGAGCGCGCCAGAAACGCTTCGTTTGGTGGCTCTGCTCGCGTCATAGTAGATTGGCGCGAGGAACACCCATTCGGAAACGTAAGCACTCGCCGAGCGTGGATGACAGGCCCGGGCTACTTTAGTTACGCGTCGTTAAACTTCCGAACGGCGCAGAACTAACCCTAAAATGTTTGAACGGCTGCTGATCCTTAAGTGACTCGGTTGCAGAGAACGGCACTGCCGACCTTACCTTTCGTAACAGTATGTTAGAATTTTTTTTTTCTTACCGTCTGCCCCTCTCGTCGCAAATAGCAATGAGGCTACAAGCACGATGAAATACCTCACACATCAATAACTACGAGAGACATTTCCATTGTTCGCAGGAAAGCACAAGCAGAAGTACTACTACTACTACTACTACTACTACTACTACTACTACTACTACTACTACTACTACTACTACTACTAGCAGTAACAGAAGTAGCAGTAGTAGTAGTAGTATCAGTAGTAGTACTAACAGAAGTAGCAACAGTAGTAGTAGTAGTAGTAGTAGTAGTGTTGGTGGTAGTATCACTGTTAGTAGTAACAGTAGTAGTAGTAGTAGTAGTAGTAGTAGTAGTAGTAGTAGTAGTAGTAGTAGTAGTAGTAACAGCAACGGGTCAATCTCGGAATAATCCTGTTTCATCCCCTACTTATATTGCTTTGCATCTCGTTTTCACTAGCTGGACGATCACAGCTGTAAATTTCAAGACAGCTGCCTATTTGTAAATACTTTTATTAGTCTCACTTGCACATTTTATATAAAAGTTTTTTTATCATCTTTCTCTTCACTCTCTTCTCGAATATTTCAATCCCATTCCCTATCTATATGCAGAGTAGCATACCAGCGGTGTATAGACGCCAGCGAAAATATCTGTTTTTCTAATGAAGCCTCTCTCTCTCTCTCAAGACAGCTGGAAATCGCATCGTGAGATTGCGGTGAACCCCTTAACAAATAAAAAACGTAATTACTTTAATGCAATAGCAACATCATTGGAATGAAACAAAAAGGGCTTGAGAATTCCGACCAAAGCATCACAGTGCAACAAAAAATACAGCGCACACTGTATCAAACCTGCGGTTGGAAATATAGCCTACCGATTCATTCGCACTACATGAAGCCTAATTGATTGATATGTTGGGTTTAACGTCCCAAAACTACCATATGATTATGAGAGACGCCATAGTGGAGGGCTCCGGAAATTTTGACCACTTGGGGTTCTTTTAACGTGCACCCAAATCTGAGCACACGGGCCTACAACATTTCCGCCTCCATCGGAAATGCAGCCGCCGCAGCCGGGATTCGGTCCCGCAACCTGCGGGTCAGTAGCCGAGTACCTTAGCCACTAAACCACCGCGGCGGGGCTACATGAAGCCTGAATCAACTGATTCGCCTAACTTTTTACCGTTTCTTATGAGGCCGAGTGAAAGAAAAATGGGATGACGTCTGCGGTAGACCACACATTGCAACAAATTGCAACGTTCTGGCGCTGCCAACTGAAATGTGCGGCTCGGTGACGAAACCCGCCGCTCTTAGGAGCAGTTGATGTGGCTGCCGATAGCATCGCATGTGAAAGAAGCACGGCATTAAATCAAATCCATAGGACTTTTAATTTATTAAATATGCAGCGTTTCTTAGGGAACTTTGGCGACTTTGAGCGTGCGTATCTATCTATCTATCTATCTATCTATCTATCTATCTATCTATCTATCTATCTATCTATCCATTCATCTATCCATCCATCTCGCTGCTTATACAATTTTAGCTCTCCTGGCCGTTTGGATAATGGGATCTATAACAAAACTGGTATGGCATAGCATGACTGTATGACGAGCATAAGTGACTACTCATAACATAACATGAAAATCATGATATGTATGTCATGATTGTCATGATTTACGTGTCATGGTCTTGCTGCTCCTACGGTGGTGTCTTTCACATCGCATATTGCAGAACTGTTATGGTATGACATCTCTACATGGCAAGCACAAGTGACAAGCCCTCACATGTAAATCATGACATGCGTGTCATGCAAGTCGTGGCTACACGCCACGCTCATGATGCACTCGTGGTCGTTTCGCTAGATTTACATATACCAAATTTGGCATTGCGTGACGTGAATGGATGGAGGAGGTTTATCACTGGCGCAAACAAGACAATCATGACATTCGTCCATGTAAGAACATGACTAGATGCCACGTTCATGATACGCTCGTGGCCATTTTGCTAGCTTCCCATAAACCAAATGTGGTGTTACGTGACGTGAATAGTTGACAAAGGTATATCACTGGTGCAAACAAGACAATCATGAGATGCGTCCATGTAAGAACATGACTACATACCACGCTCATAGCGCGCTCGCGGCTGTTTCGCAAGCTTCCCATCTACCAAATCTGGTACTACCTGACGTGAATAGACGACGAAGGTAAATGACACGTCCGAACACCAGAAATTAGAGGAGCCATATTTAAACGAAAAAAGAACACGGCGGCAGGTGAAGATAAAATCCCCAATAAATCAGAAGATAGTGCTAATCTGCGATGGACATTCGTTATTGATGACTGAACAGCTCCACAACACTGGTTCAGTACTTTTTCTCCTGCACTTATGCACTGGCTAGCGTGTGTTTTTAAAAAGTTCCCTTAATTGATATCTTTTAGCCACCACCATCATAATTTAAAGCTCGGCGTAGCATTACCATCACACCCCAGCTACACACTGCGCGGTGGATTTGAGGATATTGCTTTTTCAACAGTATTATCTCGTTTTTTTTTTCGTCGTGTCACTCGAAGAGCAGGTGGCGGGATGGTGACATGCGGCGAGATTCAATAAAAAAAAAAGAGGCAGTCTTGATTTTTAACAATGTGAGACGAGTTTGACTAGGGTGCTTTACGAATGCACTTTCATCTCCGAAAACTGCCTCATTGCGACACGGCAAGCAATCGCACAAGAGACGCGCCAACTGGCGCGAGGCCACCGAAAATAAAAGTCGCAGGGCCTGCGAAGCGACGGCGCTTTAACATCTGCGAAGGAAGAAAGGGCCGCCTCCCCTCTCGTTATCTATTATTTACGTGCGCAGTCACGTCAGCACACAAATAGCTAAAACAGTCAGAACAGTTATAGCCGGCGAAAACAGGGATGCACGATCAGCAAAGGTTTATCGCACTGCCGCTCGTCGAACACTATTTTGCTGTCCTCGCTGCGTAGAAAGCCTCCCCTGAAAGTCCTACGCAGGCACGACGTAAACCGCGCGAGTGCTTAACCAGCTTAACTACACGTTTACAGAACATTTGCTATTAGTTTACACGTCAGGACAGGGTACGCAGCGGAAATACTGTAACCAATAAGACATCTTCGTCCACTAACTCTCGCAACTTTTAAGCGAAGGACGTAAACAATGATAGTCGCTCTGCTTAGCTTTCAAGCACTTCTTGGAACCAAACACGATCAGACACATGAGCACGCGATCCGGAAACCGAAGCAAATAAGACATTCTAGTAACTGACTGGTCATATTACCATGTGCTTCAGTCCAAGTCATCTAAAGGAGTAAAC